AGCCACTCTGGCATGTCAAGGGCAGTTTTGGTGGCCGCCCTAGTGTGATTCGGAGGAGCCGATGAGCGGGGTTGACCAGGAAATGCCCGCGGGACGGCAGGGGCGATCAAGATTGAACGCTGCCAGAGGCCAGATTCGGCCGATATCGAACGATGTGCGCTTTCGGAAATCCGCGGTCATTCAGGGTTGAACTGCACACGTGGTGTCAGAGAGGCATGTCGTCACGACGAGATTTTGACGTGCGTGTGCGCTGGACGGGCACCGTTTCTCATGTCGAGCAGACATGGCACTCCAGATGGCGTATTGGGAAAATCGTCTCGCTTGAGCCGCGTACAGAACAGCGTCTGGCAAATCGTGACCATGTCGCGCGCTCCATGAGGGCCTGGCCGACGGCGCCTCCTCGCCCCCAGCGGAAGCTGGCAGATGGCCAGCGGGAGGCGGCGGTTCAGGTTTGTTTGGAGTCGGCTAGTTGGGAGTTGGTGAATTACTTAAGAATTACGCTGTGGTCGAACCGCTCGTCAAACCTGTGCGTTCCGCACGTAAAGCTCGGCGTTAGAGGCTTTGCGATTCACCTCCTTGTATTAATGCGCGCAGCGTTGACAAGTTCTCCTTGCCAACCAGCAGCATACGTGTCGGACGGCTTGCATGTAACATTGGGGGCGGTATCTTATAGAGCCATTCGGATAAGAGCAGCCTACACCCCTGCAGGTAAGTACTGTGCAGCCCCGGCCACCCTTTCGCAAGACAGCCATTGGTGCCTGGGCCGCAGCCTTTGCGCACCCAGTCCAGCTCATCTTGTCTCGAGTGCCGCTCCCGAAATCCTCGCCCATCCACGGCTGCGGAAGGAGGAGGACGAGGACAAGGACGAGGACGGGAAGGACAGCAAAGCGTACGGTAGGTTCATGCGGTGCCGACGCGGCGGCGACCCCCACCGCGGGCATTCAGGGCTTCACGCCGCCAGTGGCCCAGAATCGGCCAACCTGGAACGATCTTGCGTTTGGGAACGATCTCCACGGTGTCAGGAACCAACGCCAGGGTCGTCACGACACGAACCTGCCGTACGGAGGAGGAAGGTGCGGGAGGAGGAGGGTGCAGGAGGAGCATGAGCAGGAAGACGACGACTTCGCGTGCAGTTGCCGTCCAGGCGACGTGCTATGATCGTGTCTGTGGGGGCGATGGTTCGGCCTGGTCGGTAAAGCGCTGCATAGTGCAGCATCGGCCGTCACCCCTCTCGATTCGGGGTGCGGATCTGGTTCGCGATCGCTTTTTACGTGGCTCGTGTTGCGCACGGCACGCGCCACAGCTAACGGCGACAGCATAGAAATATATGGATGTCGCCACGGCAACAGCAAAACCAAAATATCGAAAAAATCGTGGCGGAGGCGGAGGAGGAGGAGGAGGAGGAGGAGGAGAGGACGACGACGACGACGACGATGATGACGATGACGACGAGCAGGCGGAGGTGAAGATGAGCACCGAGGAAGAAAGATACCCTTCTCTGGGGCTCGCGGGCGGGTCTTCCGCGCTGCGCCCCCTTCCCGAGGCCCTCCGACGTCGTGAAGCAGATCACCTCCATCTCCATCGAGCCGGGAGTGGAGGTGGACCAGGGGGCGCCAGCCGCGCATCGCCAGTTGCGGCTCTCCCTCGCGATGCTCTGGAACGAAGGGTCCAGCGTATGCCCACCGAGGCACTGCGTTTGCACGCCTATCTTCCGGCATGTGTTCAGGTATGTCTTCAGCATGTTACTCTCTGCGGATGCGCCGTCATGGCGCGGCTCTTGCCTGCCTCCCTGCCTGCCATGCTTGGCCGAGGGTCGGTTCAAGCATAGGCGGGTCCAGCAGGTTCGCGCCGTGTCGGCGCGGCGGGGTCCCCAGAGCGCGGGCGTTCGAGGCGGAAGGCCGCCAGGGGCCGCATTCGGCCGACATCGAACGAGCTGAGCTGCGCCACGGAAGGCCGCGATCGCTCTCAAGGTTGAACGATCCACGCGGTGACAGAAACCAACGCGCAGGTCGTCACGACGATAGCTCTCAAGGGAACAAAGCCACCTGGACCCCCACAGCTGGCATCCTCTGAGCAGTCCCGGGCGTCTCCTAAGGAGCGCCCCGCCCTGCCTGTCTCCTTCCGCGGGTGCGTTTATGGAAGGGCTTCACTTGCTGGGGTGCTAAGCTTGCCGAGCGCCCGCTCCTCCCCTTCCACCACCACCTCCACCACCACCTCCACCTCCACCTCCACCTCCACCTCCTCCTCCTCCTCCTCCTCCTCCTCCTCCTCCTCCTCCTCCTCCTCCTCCTCCTCCTCCTCCTCCTCCTCCTCCTCCTCCTCTCCTCCTCCTCCTCCTCCTCCTCCTCCTCCTCCTCCTCCCACCCCGGAGGCGGGTGCTGCCAGAGGCGCCCACGGCCCCCCAGGTGTCCCCAGGATCTCCCAGGAGGCCCCCCTGCCCCCTCCGCGGGGCGCGAAGTTCGGTCACCCCGGAGTCGGGCGTTGCCAGAGGTGCCCCCGGCCCCCAGGATTTCCCGGGAGGCCCCCGCGGCCTCCAGAGCACCGCCCAGAGGTTGAGATGGCCCCAGGCTGGATCTAGAGCGGTGCGAATAGCTGGGGGGCGCGTTGTGCCAGGACCGCTTCTGGCAGCCCCCGATGCAATCGACAAATCCCATAAGAAATCGACCTGCGAGCAGGTGCTCCACGCAAATGTCTGATCCCGCGATGCCCCCAGAGACTCAAAAGCCCCAGGACACCTCAGGAAGTCCAGGGCTCAACAAAAAACATGCCCGTGGATGTCTCGTCGCAGAGATTATGGTCGTACGGTACGTGCACCTGCTGTAGAGGATCGCCCTGGCCAGGCCCCGCGCCCGCGCACAGCTGGCGCCTCCCCAGGTGGAGGTGACCATCGCGGACGTCTGAGGCCGGGGGTAGCTCAGAAGAGGACCGGCCGGCGCGCCGGATGCGGGGCGGCAGTCGAGCACGGAGCAGGGGAGGAGTTTGCGCGGCCCAGCTTTGGAGAAAAGGGCGAGGATCTCCTCCTCCTCCTCCGCCTCCTCCTCCTCACCATCATCATCATCATCATCATCATCATCATCATCATCATCATCATCATCATCATCATCATCATCATCATCAGCATCAGCATCAGCATCAGCATCAGCATCAGCATCAGCATCATCATCCATCATCATCATCATCATCATCATCATCATCATCATCATCATCATCATCATCATCACCACCACCCTCCTGCCCCTCCTCATCCCTCCTCCCTTCCCCCTGCTCCCTTTTCCTCCCCTCCTGGCTCCTGCCCTCCCTCCTGCCCCTCCTCCTCTCCTCCTCCCCCATCCTCATCTTCCTTCGGCTGTCGCTTCCCTTCGGAGTGGCACCCGCTCGGCAGTTGTGAGCTGTGACCCACGCCTTCGAAGAAGACCGAACCGAACCTCCTCGTCCTCATCCTCCTCTTCCCTCCTGTTCCCTTTTCCTTCCACCTCATCCCTCCAGCCCTTTCTCCTCTCCCCTCCTCAGCAGCGTTCGCGGGAGGAAGAAGAGAGGATAAGTGTTCCGTTCAGCTTCTCTGTAGCAGAAGCAACCGGCATACCTCAAGGGACGCTCAATGAGTCAGCTCAGTCTCAGGCGCTGCGTCCAAAATTATGCTCGTGGCCATTTTCACCATGAAGGTGCCTTCCTGTCTTGGGCAAACGGTTGCATACTTAGCAAGTGGAGGAGTAGGAGGAGGAGGAGGAGGAGGAGGAACAGGAGGAGGAGGAGGAGGAAGAGGGGGAGAAGCGGGAGGATGGGGAGAAGCGGTAGGAGCGGGATCAGCGGCAGCAACGGCAGCAGTAAAGGCGTCGGGAGGATCGGAAGAGGAGAAGCGGGCGGGAGGAGGAGGAGCAGGAGGAGGAGGAGGAGGAGGTGGAGGAAAAGGAGGCGGAGGAGGAGGAAGAGGAGGAGAAGGAGGAGGAGGAGGGGCAGGTGGACGAGGAGGAACGGGGGTAGGCGGAGAAGGAATAGGAGGGTCAGGAGGAGGCTGGGGAGGAGGAGGAGGAGGAGGAGGAGGAAAAGGGGTAGGCGGACGACGAGGAGGAGGAGGAGGAGGAGGAGGAGGAGGAGGAGGACGGTTAGGAAGAGGAGGAGGAGGAAGAAGAGGAGGAGCAGGAGGAGGAGGAGAAGGAGGTGGAGAAGGACGGAGGAGGAGGAGGAGAAGAAGGTTGGCCTGTAACGTAGAAGAGGACCAGGACCGCCTTGTTGCGGGTAGACCTCTGTAGTGCTGCCGGGTCCGCCGAGTCTGCTGGCGGCCTGGCTGGAGGATCAGGAGGAGCAGGAGGGGGAGGATGCGACCGGCGGCCGCGGCCAGTCTGGCCGCGGAGCTCGCCGGCTGAGAGGCCAGAGCACGGCCAATGGTTGTTGGATCCAGAGCGTGGCATTCATCTCCTACACCATCGTCGCGCGCCCCGAGAAGCTCAGACTGGGCGCATCGCTAATGGATCTGACCTTTCTGTAATTCGAGGAAAACGAGGAGGAAGGAGAAGAGGAGGAGAAAGGGGCAATTAGAAGAAGGAAACTCGGAAGGATGGGGAGGGGAAGGTGGAGGAACAGGAGGAGAAGTAGGAGAAAGGGGAGGAGGAAGAACAGGAGGTGGAGGACGACGACACGACGCTGGAGGGCAAGATCGCGGCGCTATTTTCTGCACGGATTCGGACGGGACGGAGTTTGATCGATATTTGGCAGACCCATTTTGGGGTGTGCTTCGGCACTCTTAAAGAACCCAAGAGTCAGCGCGAAGCCCTCCCAAACACGATTCTTTTCGACATTCCTCAACGTCCAGCCCTCTTGCATTTCTTCCTCCTTTCCCCCCCTCCTCATCCCCAGCCGCCGTCTCGGCTCGACCTGTTTAGGTGCTGCTACCAGGTAGCGGCGACACCCGTCCCGGGACAGCTGCGAACGTGCCGCGGCGCAGCTTCTCCATAACATTGTTCCGCCGTGGCCGCGCTTCGCGCCTCCTCTCAGCAGAGCGCATGCGCGAGCCAGCTGGGCACAGGGGGGCTCGCTCCAAGAGACCGAGGGCGCGCGTCACCCTCCGGATGGAGTCGGCCCGACGTCTCCTTCAACGTCAGCACAGCGGCGAAGGAGTCATGGCCAATCGCGCGTCATGGTCGCCGCCTGGTCCTGCATGGATCTGTGGTTCGTGTACTGTACGCAAATTGTCCGACAGGGTGGATTGCCGCCAGTGTGGTTCGCCTCAGCCAGAACCTCCTCCAGAGAAGCAAGATCGAGCTACACGTCGTTCGAGAAGTTCACCATCCGAACGCCCTCCCAAGGCCCGTGGCAAAGGTCGGGAGTCCAATGACAAGGCCCGTGGCAAGGGTCGGGACCCCATGCTGGCGCTTCGAGGTACATCGAAGGGCAAAAACAGCCAGATGAGCGAAGCCAAGCACATCAATGAAAAGGAGAAGGACCCACAAGAGAAGGATAAGATCGACGAGCATCGCTCGGCCAAGGACATCCTTCACATCAGGCCAACACTACTTCAAGAGGCACGCCAATAGCCCAGATGGACACTACCCCCAGGGTGGCGGCATCAAATACGGAAGCGCGAACTTACAAAGTGCAGGTTTGTGCTCGCTTCGAAGCCCTGAGTCTGATCATCCTCGACCACTACGATATGGAGGAGGATTACCACGATGCAATTCTGGAGTTCGCGACGACGCTGGCCATGCTGTTCAGCGCCCGAGGTTTGAAGGAGCAGCTCATGAAGCAGCACGAAGCGCAGGAGAGGGGGGAGAAGAGGATCCAGCGAGCAACGGATGTGTTTGGAAGATCTACATACCCAAAAGATTCAGGCAACTGTCGATGTCGGGACAGCCGAACGCGACCTTGCCCATATGAACAAGACGGTCGAGGAGACCAAGGTGATTATCCAGGCAGCGGAGGAGGCGGCGCCAGCAGCAGCCGCAGCAATTGCAGCCCCCAGTTTGGGAGTCGACGATCGGATGATTGCGAACTGTGGTGCCACTGGAGGTGCGGCGGCCCCAACGGCACTTGGACATAATGATTCTTATGTCAGCACTGGGTGATTCCGCAGCTTTACCAGGCGCAGATCGTAGCCATGACGGCCCAGCTCCAAGGCTTCGCGACGGTGACCCACCAGCTACAGATTCAAGCCGGAGGCAGTCAAAACATTCCAGCTCCCAACAGCGCGTGGCATTCGTAGAGGAGGGCGCTGCTGCCCAACCAGATGCTGCTGGCCAGCCAGATGCTCCGGCAGGACGACCAGATGCTGCTGGCCAACAAGGTGCTGCTGGCCGGCATGTTGTTGCTGGACCAAATGGGGCTGCTTGCCAACCAGGCACGCCGGCAGGGAAAGCAGCGGCCTCCGCGGACCCAGCTGGGCAGAGGGCTGCCAAGTCTGCACTTGCGCCTGCCGGGGGCGCGGAAGGAGGGGAACGATCGTAGCGCAGGTTCCGGAGCAGGGCGCCTGCGCGCGAGCCCAGGCCAGAAGCTGGAGCACGGCCACGGTCAGCAAGTCGCGCTCGCCCCGCCAGGCCTCCAGCTCAGGAGTTGCCCATTTTTGTAATCAGCGACCAGCCCAGTCAGTTGGCGGCGGTCACGTCTCGATCTCAGACGTGACCTTTGCTTCTTCCCAGCACAGAAAGTTGCGTTTCAGTTTCGACGGCCATGGCCATGTTAAGTTCATGCGACATGTGAGGACGATCTTTCTGAGCATTTCCACCCTAGCATTTCCGCAGCACCGCAGCAACATGCATCAGACCCCCCCTTCCTCCAACCAGGGTGGTGATTTGTGCTGATGGAACGGGTGGCGCCGAAATCTATTAGATTCCGTATGTTCCAGGGTACGCGGCCCCTCTCGCATATGATCACTTTGATGGTTCCCAGGCTGTCTGGGGATAGATTACTGATGTGGTCCAGGAAGACGCGATGAACCTCTGTCCAACCTCATCTCACGCCGACGCCGCTGAGATCTTGGCAGCCACGGTTAACTGTGAGCGTTTAGTGTTACAGGTGATAGTGCACAGTAGCTAAGTGCACAGATGCCAACGTAAAATAATTATAGCCAGAGTGCAGTATCCCAAAACAGGGTATCTAAACCCACTGCGGCTTCCAAGGTCGATTGCGTGCCCGTTCAGTGCGGCCAGAGGCGCAGCAGCGGGAGGCGGGATGAGGGAGGAGGGAAGAGGAGCCAGGTGGGAAGCGGGAAGAGAGGAAGGCGGGAGAAGGAATGAGAAAGGTTGTGATTGGAGCCCGTGTGCTACGAAACGTCTCAGGCAGAACGGGCCAGACCATCTCTCGCGCAACATCTTCGAGCTTCGCATTGTGAGGATGGCTCAAGCGAAACGGGCCGGACCACCTCGCGAGCATCCTGGAGTTCAGTATTGGAAAGATGTCTGAAGCGAAACGGGCAGGACAACTTCTCCCACACGTTCTGACAAGTCCACGTCACATTCGCTTTCCATTAGGTCCTCTCCTGCAATTCCCTTCCTTCTCCCTCTTCCTCCTCCTTCCTCCTCCTGCCTGCTCACTCATCCACACCATCATCCTCCTTCTCCCTTCCATCTCCTCCTCCATCTCCTCCTCCTTCTCCTCCTCCCCCTCCTCCTCATCCACCTCCTCTTCATCCCGAACGGCATCTCGGAGCCCAAAGTTGCGAAGATGTCTCCAGCGTAACGGGCTGGACCACCTCGCGCACGGCATCTCGGACCCCAGAGTTGCGACGATGTCTCGGGCGAAACGTGTTGCGAGGAAGTCTCTGGCGAAACGGGCCGGACCACCTCGAGCGCGGCGTCTCAGAGCTCCGAATTGCGGGGGCCCCCTGGGGACCTCCTGTGGCTTCCTCCTGGGCCTCCTGTGGCCTCCTTGGCCCCACTTGGGGCTTTCTGAAGCCTCTTGGGGCTCCCAGGGGGGGATATCTAACATGTTTCCGTCTGGGCCCACCAAAATGGGGCGGGGGCCACAAGAGCAGGAGAAATCAACGAATCGACACCTGATGTGTATTAACTTGACACGCTCTGATAGGGGGCCTCCTGGGGCCTCCTGGGAGCCTCCTGGGAATCTCCTGGGGACCTTTAGGGACCCCTGAGGCCTGTCCTGGGCGTCCTGCGGCCTCCTGGAGCTCTCTGGGGCCTCCTGGGGCTCCTAGGGTCCCAGGGGGGATATGTAACATGCGGTTTCGTGGGCCCACAAGCTGGACCACCTCTTGCGCGGCATCTGGGAGCTCAGAGTTGCGAGAATGTCTTGTGCGAAACGGGCCGGACCACTTTGCGCGCGGCAGAGCTCGGAGTTGCGAGGATGTCTCAGGCGAGACACGCCGGACCACCTCGCGCAGGGCATCTCAGAGCTCAGAGTTGCGAAGATGTCTCAAGCGAAACGGGCTGGACCACGTCGCGCGCGGCATCTCCAAGGTCAGAATTGCGAGGATGTCTCAGGCGAAACGCGCCGGGCCACCTCGCGCACGGCATCTCAGAGCTCCGAGTTCGGAGGATGTCTCAAGCGATACGGGCCGGACCACCTCTCGCGCGGCATCTGGGAGCTCAGAGTTTGGAGGATGTCTCAGGCGAGACGGGCCAGACCACCTCTCGCGCGGCATCTGGGAGCTCAGAGTTTCGAGGATGTCTAAGGCGAAACGGGCCGGACCACCTCTCGCGCGGCATCTCGGAGCCCGGAGTTGCGAGGATGTCTCAAGCGAAACGGGCCAGACCACCTCGCAAGCGTCATCTCGGAGCCCGGAGTTTCGAGGATGTCTCAGGCGAAACGGGCCGGACCACCTCTCGCACGGCACCTCGGGGCTCAGAGTTTCGAGGATGTCTCAAGCGAAACGGCCCAGACCACCTCTCGCGCGGCGTCTCGGAGCGTCTTTCGAGGATGTCTCAGGCGAAACGGCCAATCCCGGCCAACTCAGAAACGAGAGTTGTGAGGATGTCTCAAGCGAAACGGCCCGGACCATCAGATTTTTGTGAGGATGTCTCTGCTTCCCTTTCCCTCGGCCGGAGTTAGCTTCTATCACAACAGCACCGCACCGCGTTCAGCAAGCTGTTTGAGGAAGAAAATCCTGTTTGGGAAACCCTGTCTCGGAGCCCAGAGTTGCGAGGATGTCCCAGGTCGCACCTGGTCGACGAGTAAGCTGTCGGGTCGGCATTGTGAGAGGCTCCACCGCCATGCTGTGAACTCAGAAGCAATTTTAAGAGGAAGCGGGGGAGGGCGCGGAAGCGGGGGGGCATGTCGCGATGGTTCGAAGGGGAAAATATCGAGAGGTACGCGGCGCACGTCTCAAAAGAAAAATCGTGACGTCGGATGTCTGGGGAGGGCGGAAGGCAGTGCGCGCATGACGGATACTGAGGCGGCAGAGACGACGACGGCGGGGACGGGGAGGCGGAGGCAGAGGCGCAGCAGCGGGAGGCGGGAGGCGGGATGAGGGAGGAGGGAAGAGGAGCCAGGCGGGAAGTGGGAAGAGGGAAGCGGGAGAAGGAATGAGAGAGGTTGTGATTGGAGCCCCTGTGCTACGAAACGTCTCAGGCAGAACGGGCCAGACCATCTCGCGCGCAACATCTTCGAGCCTCGCATTGCGAGGATGGCTCAAGCGAATCTGGCCGGACCACCTCGCGAGCGACATTTTGGAGCTCAGTATTGGAAGGATGTCTCAAACGAAACTTGCCGGACAATCTTTCGCACACGTTCTGACAAGTCCACGTCGCACTCGCTTCCCGTTAGGTCCTCTCCTGCAACTCCCTTCCTTCTCCCTCCTCCTCCTCCTCCTCCTCCCCCTCCTCCTGCCTGCTCCCTCATGCACATCATCCGCCTCCTCCTTCTCCCTTCCATCTCCTCCTCCTTCTCCTCCTCCCCCTCCTCCTCATCCACCTCCTCTTCATCCCGAACGGCATCTCGGAGCCCAAAGTTGCGAGGATGTCTCCAGCGTAACGGGCTGGACCACCTCGCGCACGGCATCTCGGACCCCAGAGTTGCGACGATGCCTCAGGCGAAACGTGCTGCAAGGAAGTCTCAGGCGAAACGGGCCGGACCACCTCGAGCGCGGCGTCTCAGAGCTCCGAGTTGCGGAAGCCTCTTGGTGCCTCCTGGGGCCTCTTGGGGACCTGGGGCTTCCTCCTGGGCCTCCTGTGGCCTCCTGAACTCCACCTGGGGTTTCCTGAAGCCTCTTGGGGCTCCCAGGGGGGATATCTAACCTGTGGCCGCTTGGGCCCCTCAAAATGGAGGGGGGGGCACAAGAGCAGGAGAAATCAACGAATCGACACCGGATGTGTATTAACTTGACACGTTCTGATAGGGGGCCTCCTGGGAATCTCCTGGGAATCTCATGGGGACCCCTGGGGCCTGTCCTGGGCGTCCTGCGGCCTCCTGGAGCTCTCTGGGGCCTCCTGGGGCTCCCAGGGTCCCAGGGAGGATATGTAACATGCGGTCTTCTGGGCCCCCAGGCCGGACCGCCTCTTGCGCGGCATCTGGGAGCTCAGAGTTGCGAGAATGTCTTGTGCGAAACACGCCGGACCACCTTGCGCACGGCATCTCAGAGCTCAGAGTTTGGAGGATGTCTCAGGCGAGACGGGCCGGACCACCTCGCGCAGGGCATCTCAGAGCTCAGAAGCTCGAGGATGTCTCACGCGGGCTCCCAGGGTCCCAGGGAGGATATGTAACATGCGGTCTTCTGGGCCCCCAGGCTGGACCACCTCTTGCGCGGCATCTGGGAGCTCAGAGTTGCGAGAATGTCTTGTGCGAAACACGCCGGACCACCTTGCGCACGGCATCTCAGAGCTCAGAGTTGCAAGGATGTCTCAGACGAGACGGGCCGGACCACCTCGCGCAGGGCATCTTCAGGACCAGGACACAGATAGACCAGGACACGGAAAACCATGGAAACGACATCTTTTCCTGCAAAGTCAAGTTTTTCAGCACCCGTGCATGTTTTGTTTGCTGCACTGCAGGATTCGGGTTTGTGTCCGGGTTTAGGGGTGTCTTGCAGGCTTTTGGGGCCTGTGTCCGGGCTTATTCTTGAAATGCTGCAGTGCTGTATTTTGTTCGTGCCGCCGTTTGGAAAAATTGGTTTCGAGGGACGTTGGGTGTCCGGGTCTAGCGTGTCCGGGTCTACGGGGCCCTGACATCTCAAAGCTCAGAAGCTCGAGGATGTCTCGGCGAAACGGGCCGGACCACCTTTCGCGCGGCACCTCCGAGGTCAGAGTTTCGAGGATGTCTCAGGCGAAACGGGCTGGACCACCTCTTGCGCGGCATCTGGGAGCTCAGAGTTTCGAGGATGTCTCAGGCGAAACGGCCCGGACCACCTCTCGCACGGCACCTCGGGGCTCAGAGTTTCGAGGATGTCTCAAGCGAAACGGCCGGACCACCTCTCGCGCGGCGTCCCGGAGCGCAACTTTTCGAGGATGTCTCAGGCGAAACGGCCAATCCCGGCCAACTCAGAAACGAGAGTTGTGAGGATGTCTCAAGCGAAACGGCCCGAACCATCAAATTGTTGTGGGGATGTCTCTGCACCGACTTCCCTCGGCCGGAGTTAGCTTTTATCACAACAGCACCCCGTTCAGCAAGGTGTTCGGGGAA